AAAAAAAAAAAAAAAAAAAAAAAAAAAACCAAACTTATGAAGAAACTCCCTCAAGTCTCAACTCCTTCAGGACCTGGTCATACAAAACCTTACTCAGTCGTCATCATCATCACTATGCGCCTTCAACCCCACTCTCCCGCAAAACCAAAAACTCACACATCCTCTTTCTCTCTCTAGAAACTAGAATCTAATATATTCTCTACTCTACTCTCTCTCTAGAGACCTGATTGATTGCGAAATAGTTACTTTATTCCATGTCTTAGTCTTTAAGTTTATCGTCAACGAAGAGTCAAACCATGGGGCACATTAGCGAGAACATTAATGTCATGGGAGCATTCGAAGCGATATCGATCGGTAGCCCAATTTTTAATGGGGGAAACGAAGAAGACGAGGGATCGACTATGTCGGAAACCCAATTGCAGCAAACCGGAAAGGATCCGAGAAGAATTGCGAGAGGGTATGCCACTTTGTGCTTTAGTTTTTGCTTTGTTATTTGATTTTTCTTTACTAATTCTTCATATATCTTCATTTGTTTACTTTTGATTAGTGATAGAATGTAGTTTTTTTTTTTTTTTTTTTTTTTTTTTTTTTTTTTTCTTCATTTCTTTATTTATGTTTTTTTTTCTTGAAATTATGTTCTTGTTAAATATATACTTTTGAATGTAGTTCATTACTTCATCAGTTTATTGACTTTATTCCGTGATTTTTTTTTTTTTTCAAAATTTTACCTTTTCTTTGGGTAAAAACTCATAAGAGATTCTTGAATTTAGATATCTTTTTACTTAAATTTCTTATTTGTGTGTATAGAGTCAAATTCCCTGGGTAAGAAAAGGCTTATGGCGTTTTATTTGTAAATATTTATGTTTAGTGTGTTTCTTGTTATGAAAGAGAAGAACAATCATATTCTTAATTTTATATTAATTATTACTTCATTCATGAGAATCGTATAATTGGTTTCTTATCTATTTTCTTAAATATACATGGATGCTATCTTCTTTAGTTTATTGCATAAAGTTCTTTAATTAGTTCACATAATTATAATTCTTGGCTTATAATAACATGTTACTTATTAAATGTTGTGTGTTAAAAGCTGATTATCAAATCATTTAATTAGTTCACATATCTTTCAGACATCATTTATCCAGTTGATATGTTGAGAACAGAGGAAAATGTTTTACAGAATGATATGAATTTTTGAATCAAAAGATCCCTTTCATATTGATTCCTCATTTAGTTTTCCCATCAAGTTTTTTAACTATATCTATATGATAGCCTTAAAGCTCTAAACGTGAAAACAAAATGGTGTTTAAATCCATCTCCAAAGTTTGAAGATTTCATGTTGTTCCCCTTTGTTTTTTTTATTGCAGTTACCAGATTGAATTATGTCAAAAGGCTTTAATGGAGAACATTATAGTGTATTTAGAAACAGGTTGTGGCAAAACCCACATTGCTGTTTTACTTATTTATGAGATCAAACGCCAGATGAAGAAGTCCCAAAAGGAGATATGCATTTTTCTTGCTCCCACTGTGGCTCTTGTTGAACAAGTTAGTAACTTTCCTTTGTTTCCTTCTTTACCCTTTGTTCCTTTCTTTTTCTTTTAAAAAGTGTTGTTTGATATATTTGAGAAGCTTTTCACTTTTACTACTAGTATGGCCTTGATGATGAAAATTGAAGACTTAGAACCAATAATTATTCACTTTGACCGGTCAAATTTAGATTTTATTGTGAAATATTCTTCTTGTTCCTTATCATACTTTATTTATGCAGCAAGCCAAGGTTATAAAAGATTCTTTAGATGTAGAAGTTGGAATCTATTGTGGGAGTTCTAATCGTTTGAAGGGTCATCATGATTGGGAGAAGGAATTGGAACAACACGAGGTTTGTTGCTTTAATTTGACAAAGGGTATATTTGTAATTTCTCAATTGAAGTTCTTGACTCTTGATCTTGATAATGTATGTTCTTCTACAGGTCTTTGTCATGACCCCACAAATCTTGTTGCATAATTTATCACACTGCTTCATTAGGATTGAGCACATTGCCCTTCTTATATTTGATGAGTGCCATTATGCACAAGTTGAAAGTAATCATCCTTATGCTGAAATCATGAAGGTAGTAATTAATTACATGTTTCTTGATGTTTCTCTTTCATGCTTTGAATATATTTTGGTCAATGCATTTGACTTTTTTTTTTTTGAATTAATGCAGATATTTTACAAACCAGGTGTTGCTAAACTTCCCCGTATATTTGGCATGACTGCATCACCAATATTTGGGAAAGGTAATATGATCATGTTTGGCATATTTTTGCATTGTATATTAGATAGGTAAAAATATGTACTTCATCTAAATGTTTAGTATGTCATTATTGTCTTATTAGGTGCTTCTATTGGTAGTCTTGAGACCTTACTTCATGCCAAGGTGTGTCATCTATGTCACAAGATTCATTTTCTGCCAATAATTATTCATTTTTCAATAATTAAATTAATGAAAACTGATTTAAATTCAACATTTTCTTTATCGAACATTTTTATAGGTTTATACTGTTGAAGCCAGGGAAGAGCTAGATCGATTTGTGTCATCCCCTAAAGTTAATGTCTATTATTATGGCACTACTATAAGCAATTCATTAAGCCCTCATGTTACTTATTCTGCAAGACTTGAAACAATAAAGGCTGAGGTAAAATCTATTTTATGTCTTTTTTTTTGGTTAAATTTTTGCTCAATTATACAATTAACAACCCATTGCTAATTATGTGTTTTATTTGCATATTAGTGTATGTTAGCTTTGATCACAAAGATTGAGGATCTTTCTATTCTTAAGAACACCAAAAAGGCACTTCAACGTCTTCATGGAAATCTGTTGTTTTGTCTTGAAAATCTTGGCCTTTGGGGAGCATTACAAGTAAGTTCTCATTGCACTATTGATCGTACTTGTGATTTTATAAACCCTAAACTCTAAACCACTAAATATGATTTTGTTTCAAATTGTCAAGGCATGTCGGATTTTGTTGAAAGGAGATCTGGTTGAGAGAAATGAAGTTATTGAGGTAAATGAGGAATGTAGTGATGATATTCTATGTGGAAGTTTTCTATCACAAGTTGCTTCCTACTTCACTTCCGAATGCAAAAAAGGTACATTTTATTCTTTTTGTTTTTCTGTTTTCCAAAAAGCATTTCTCCTTTAAGTTGTTCTTTCTGCATTAAGTCAAAAAGAAGCACTCATATATAAGCTTCTTCTAGATTACCCTATTGAAGCAAACTGCATGGAAGCTGATTTATCATCCGTGGAGGCTTTGAAAGTTCCGGATTTCTCTTGGAAGCTCTTACGACTAATCCAAATTCTTTCCAATTTTAGGTTTGTAACACATGGGAAGAAAAAGCAATCAACTTTTGAAACTTTTTTTTCACCACTGAACGATATTTTTACATATGTATGTTGTTATTCCCAGGGCAATACCGGATATGAAATGTATAATATTTGTGAATAGAATCATAACTGCTAGATCGTTAGCATATGTCCTTCAACAACTTAGGTTTTTATCCGCATGGAGGTGTAGTTACCTTGTTGGGGTCCACTCAGGGCTCAGAAATATTTCACGAAAAAGCACAAACGCCATTTTAGAGAAGTTTCGTTCCGGTGAGGTATGCATTATGCTACTTTACTCCTATTTTGTATGAATACTTGTTTGCATAAAGAGGTCGTGTCACAGTCTGTCAGTGTCAGTGTCAGGGTCAGTGTCATTGTCTGTTATGTCATGTCATGCATAACAAGTGGAGCCTCATTTTACAAATATGTGTATGCATAAAGAGGTAATTTAGGGTTTTGTTATGTCAGTTGAATTTGTTAGTAGCAACAAAAGGTGGGAGAGGAAGGGCTTGATATCCAAACATGTTGTCTTGTTATAAGATTTGATCTTCCGGAAACCGTTGCTAGTTTTATACAATCAAGAGGTCGTGCACGCATGCCACAATCTGAATACGCCTTTTTGGTAGATAGGTAACACCCTTTTCTTTTCTTTTCTTTTTTGGTTTTAATATAAACCCTACCCCTATATTCTATATCTTAAACTATTACATATTTGCAGGGGGAACCAAAAAGAGATGAATTTAATACAGAACTTCACCAAGGATGAAGCCAATATGAACAATCAAATATCTTCACGATCATCAACTGTGAAATATGTTGATTTTGAGGAGAAAACATATACAGTTGATTCAACAGGTGCCACCATTAGTTCAGGATCTAGTGTCTCATTACTTCACCAATATTGCTCCAAACTCCCACACGATGAGTAAGATTTTCTTTTCTACATGTTTGGAACCATAAGTTTCTTGCATTTGCATATTAATATATTCTAGAGTAAATTACATTTTGGATCCCCAAGTATAGCTGATATTTGCAAATTTTGTCCCCAAAAAGTTTTCTTTTGCATCTTTGGTCCTTATTTGAGGTTCTTGTAACACTTGTGGTCCTTGTAGTTGTTCCAAGTAAAATGACTATAATGTAATTTAGTTTGAGTAAACTAGCAAGTTTATGTGTGTTACTAATCAACATTGTAAACTTAGTAATTTTATTTTATGTATAGATTCTTCAACCCTAAGCCACGGCTATATTTCTTTGATGATGCGGAGGGAACGGTTTGTTACATATATCTTCCCGCAAATGCCCCTATCCACCAAGTCATAAGTTTGCCTCAACCATCTCGTGAAGCTGCAAAAAAAGACGCCTGTTTAAAAGCATGCCAACAGTTGCATCAATTGGGTGCCTTAACCAACTACCTCTTACCTGATGATGAAGTTGATGAAGACACCCAAGATTCTTCTGATTCTGATTCCGATGAAGGTTAGTTTCATAAATGAAACAAGTTATAATCTTTATTCAATAGTAAATTTTTATTTTATTTAATGAAAATTGTGAACAGAGGATAACTCACGAAGAGAGCTCCATGAGATGCTTGTTCCCTCTGCTCTTCGAGAACCCTGGATTAAATCCAAACGTACAATGATTCGTCTCAACTCCTACTTTATAAAATTTAGCCCTTTCCCTGCTGATAGACTTTATAAAGATTTTGGTCTTTTTTTAAAAGCACCAATCCCTCAAGAGGCTGAAAGAATGAAACTTGATCTCCATTTGGCTAAGGGTCGATCTGTCTTAACCGAAATCGTCCCATGTGGCGCCTCCACATTCAACAACAACGAGGTAATCATATTACAGTGTCAGTATCAGTGTCAGTGTTAATAATATCTATGATAATTTATTTATACAGATTGTGCTAGCGGAGAGGTTCCAAGAGATGTGGCTAAAGGCGATAGTGGACAAGTCGGATTTTGCTTCCAATTTTGTCCCTTTAGGAAAAGATGATGTCAGCAATTCCGTCTCGACATTCTACTTAATGCTACCTGTGACTGTTGACCGAGGAGGATCGATGAGTGTTGACTGGAAGCTGATTACAAGATGTTTATCATCACCGATTTTTAAATCTCCACGAGATATTGCATTTGATCAACATCAACCTTTTTGTTTGGATGATTGCTTGTATCTTGCAAATGGGCCCACACGGATCAATGACATAGTGAATAGTTTGGCTTATGTTCCATGCAAAGATACTTTTTTCTTTGTCTCGGATGTTCTTCATGAGAAGGACGCGTTCAATCTTTTTAAAGAAGACACAAATTATGTCGACCACTATGCGGAAGTGTACGTCTTTACCCTTTCCAATTGTAAATTTACGTAATTGCCCCTTGTGAGAATCGAGTTGTTTACTACTTTCCTAATTTGTGAACAGATTCGGCATCAAAATGTTGCACCCCAACCAACCTCTTTTAAAAGCCAAACAACTCTTTCGATTGGACAACTTGTTGAGGAAGAGAGGGAATTCTGGTAAGTTGTAAACCGGTTTAATTATGTCTTCTTCTAAAACCTAAACCCTAAACCCTAATCCTGATATTTGAAACAGAGCCACGAGAAAAGGAGGAGCATTTTGTAGAGATACCTCCTGAAATATGTGTTGTGAAAATTCTTGGTTTTTCAAAGGACATTGGAAGTTCATTGTCATTATTGCCTTCAATTGTACACCGATTGGAAAGCTTTCTTGTTGCAATTGAACTGAGGCATAGGCTCTCTGCTTCATTCCCAGAAGGCTCACAAGTTTCTGCAGATCGCGTATGGATACTTAGTAATACTTTCGTTTGTTCTTATTACACCATTGTTTCCTCTTTTTTATGAGATTATTATTTTTTGGATTTGTTAGATTTTTGAAGCAATTACTACAGAGAGATGTAATGAACGGTTTTCTCTTGAAAGACTTGAAGTGTTAGGTGATGCGTTTCTCAAATTTGCAGTTGGTAGACACCTTTTTTTGTTGAATCATGCCCTTGATGAAGGACAACTAACGAGAAAACGTTCCAATATGGTTAACAATTCCCATTTATTCAAGCTTGCATTATCCAACAATCTGCATGTAAGACTCTGTTTCTTTTCTTTTTCCTATTAAATGTTACTTTTTGAAAGCATTTGATGAATTTTTGTCCAGGTTTACGTACGTGATCAACCATTCGAGCCTTTCCATTTCTACCCTTTGGGTCGAAGATGTTCGAAAATATGCACAGAAGCCACAAGAGTCAGCATCCATTCTTCACATGAGAGCAATTTAACCACAGGTGTAACCACTGAAGTTAGATGCAATAAAGGTCATCATTGGTTACAAAAGAAAACCGTTGCAGATGTTGTGGAAGCTCTTGTTGGAGCTTTTATAGTTGATAGTGGTTTTAAAGCTGCAATTGCTTTTCTTAAGTGGATTGGTATCCCAGTGGACTTCAAAGACTCTCATGTTGCTAATATTTGTGCTTCCAGTGCTATCTTTACTGCACTCAGTGATCAAATTGACATTCCTACCCTTGAAAGTCTTTTAGGGTATCGCTTTCATCATAAAGGTCTTCTCTTACAGGCCTTCTTACATCCATCTTACCATAACAATTACGGTGGCTGCTATCAGGTAAACACCACAATCTCAACCTATTTACTTAAATATGTGTCTACTTTAGGGTTACTTATGATAACATTTTAACAGAGATTGGAGTTTCTTGGAGATGCAGTATTGGATTACTTGATCACCTCTTATCTTTATTCGGTATACCCAAACTTGAAACCCGGTCAACTCACCGATTTAAGATCCCTTTCAGTCAACAATAATTCATTTGCGGGTATTGCTGTAAATCGATCTTTCTACACATATATGCTATGTGATTCCAATAGTCTTGTCATGTCTGTGGATAAATATGCCAAATTTTTCAAGACTTCTGCATCAAAAAATGGTGTAGTAGAAACCGTATCATGTCCTAAGGTAACTTACTATACTTAAATATTTTATTATATCTTGTATGATAATTAATAATTTTTTTATTTTTCAGGCTCTTGGTGATTTGGTGGAGTCTTGTGTTGGAGCCATTCTTCTTGATTCAGGGTTTGATTTGGATGTGGTTTGGAACATAATGATCTCGTTTCTTGATCCTGTGATGAAATTTTCCGCATTGCAGCTTAATCCTGTTAGAGAACTTCAAGAACTTTGTCAATATTATAATTGGGAATTGACGTTTCCGTCCCTAAAGAAAGACGGGGCGTTTACGGTTGAAGCAATTGTTGATGGAATTGAAGTTAGTGACGCTGCTTCTGCTACAAATTTTAATAAAAAAACCGCCAAGAGAATCGCGTGTCAGAAACTGTACTTGTCGTTGAAGGTAAAAAGACTAATATACCCTTAGGTTCTTTTACACGGTTTTCTTACGTGGGTTTATGGTGTTACAGGACAAAGGTTATAAGACGAAAGTGAAATCGTTAGAGGAAATCTTGAAATCGAGTAAAAAAATGGAGGCGAAATTGATTGGATACGATGAAGTCCCGACAGATATTGACGTTTCACGTGCCAATCAAGCTGTGGACTTGAACTCGGATAAAGTTAGAAATATTCCCATAGAAGGGCATTCTCGTCATTTAAATTCTTCGGTTAAAAGCAGTAGCAGTATTAGACGGTTGTCACAGCCCACACCTCAAAGAAGCCCTTCTTCCTCAGACGTCAGTGATAGCAATTCACAAGCTCCTTCAGGTTAAAAAAAAATTAATTTTGTCTCACTAACAGATATCTGTCTGAGTCCCAGTCAAATCTGTTCTGTCATGTCATGTCATATCTAACAAACGCTCCCTACACCTATAAATATCCGGTTTCTTTTCAGGTGATGGGGTGAAGAAATCATCGGCAAAATCACATTTATATGAAATTTGTGCTATCAACTGTTGGAAACCACCTTTGTTTGAATGTTTCCAAGAAATGGGACCCGCCCACCTCAAACAGTAAGTTGAAGCGCATCATGGGTCAATCTGCAACAAGTGTTATATACTTATATACATGTTTTTTTTTTTTTTTTTCATTTAGGTTTGCATTCAAAGTGACAGTGATAATTGAAGAAGCCTCTAATACAATCTTGGAGTGTGTAGGAGATCATCGTACTAAAAAGAAAGATGCAGCTGAGTTTGCAGCTCAAGGGGTAATTTGGTACTTAAAGCAAGTCGGGTATTTACAAAATTAGGATCCGGTATTTTTCTATTGTGGTCAATGTATGCATATATATAAAACTGGATGTAGTGTAGTGATAGTTATGACTTGTGTGAGACAAAGGGTATACATATAGTATAGAGCCCTGTATACACACACAAAGTCGAGTGTACCATTTATGAAGCTGTATGCCTAATCTTCATACAATTATGAATGATGTGATGTGTTGTCTGCCTTCTTGTGTATTGGAAGAAGTAGTTAAAAAGTGTTTTTGGTGAAATTTGTAGTTTATTCAACAGTTTCAGTTTTAAAGAAATGTCTGCTTAAGGTCGTAGTCCAGATGTTATCTGTTTGTTTCTAAGGTGGTTTTTGGTTAGCAGTGAAAAATCATTATTGGTTTGTATCTGTATGTGTTTGATAGCAAGTTGGAATGGAATGTGTGTGATTGCCCAAAAAATATTGAGTTGGTTTATACTTTATACATAAGATTTCAGGATTATTCCTAATACCAGGGCCAACTTCAACCATTTGGACGGTTTTTAATTGCAACTTCACAGATGATAATCGATCAAAATTAAGGCAACATCAATTTTCAGAACTCAACTTTTAATGTGGTCTTAAGGATAGCTGGCTGATCGAAATTGTTAATTGCAAGTTTAATTCGAGTTTGTCTTCTTTGAGTGTGTGTATCATTTTTGGGATCAATTTACAAAGAAATTTTGGGTTGAGGTGGAGTTCAAAGTAATCACATCAAGTGGTTAACAAAAATTCGAGGTCAGATTGGTGTTCAAAAAAAAAAAAGGTTGGTGTTCTTAAGGTTCAAGAACTAATTGTTGGCTGCCATTTTAATGGGATCAATTAAAGAGTGAAAGAGTTCCACCATAGTGGTACAATAGTAGGCATTTGATACTCTTTGTAAATCAACATTCATATAATGATGACCATAAATATGGACGATAATAGTTGTTGGAATGATAAAAGTAGTGTTTGTCATATTAAACCAACATTTTAGTTACCCCACAATCTGATCTAAAGTAGTTTACTAGATGATTTATGTTGTTGAACAAGTCTTCATAAATCAATGAATATATGTGCTAATAATTTGTTGTATACATAATTCCACTCCAGTCATCCTCACTATAACCAATAGAAATAACTATGGTCCATAACTTATAAGTTCCATCTCCAAGCACTTCTTTGTGCTCGGATGGATGAAATTCTTGTGAAATTTCATTCATAAGTGAATTTGAAGGGTGTTGTTATTGGCACCCGAATTACACATGTCAAAACCATTTTACTAAGTCAAAACCACTTTTGACCTGGTTTAAACTCCAAATTGAAATGACATCTACTCATGCCCCCGCAATCTCCCTCTTTTCTTCACACATTTTTTTTTTGGAAATTGTAATGTTCTTATTTCTTCGATTAACTAATGATTATTGATATACATATATTAAATTATCAAGAAAAAAAGCAATAACTAAATAAAAAAGAGACACAAGTAATATAAAGAAAAAAAAGTATCACGATAGCTAGCTACAAATCTATATTTAATACCTATTAATTATTTCTAAATGACTATTATACTTAATAAAACATAAATTATTTATTTCTAAACAACTATTATAGTTAATTATATAAATTAGAAGAACAAAGCATAATGTTTGAGGATTGGCGACGGAACGATAGGGTTTTCATATTATTTTTAGAAACTATGTTTTTATAGTGTTTTGGAAACTATGTTTTTTTAGCTTTTAACAAATGAGTTTTATATTACTTTTGGAACGAAGTTTGATATTATATTCTATCCCAAAATGAAAATTTTAGTTTGAAATTTGTGACGTTACATAGATATTGTTGCACCTGTTGGTAATTAAATTTACAAGGTCGGTATCATTGACTATTTCCAATATATAACTACCAATGAGCACGAAAACCTAAAAAAATGAACTTTAAGTTACTTATAAAGTTTTTCTATCAAAACACTTAAAAGTGTTTATTAGACATGATTATTAGGTGTGACTGAAACGACAACCTACCGTCTAAGGACTAATCGGAGATTAATATTAGACTTAACACACATAAAAAAGACAAAAAGTATGCTAATCTACACCTATTATAAGATAGTCAATTTAACTCGGTCGGGGACCAACAAATCAATTGATTTGATTGACTTTAGGAGGTGCAACTAGGAATGATGGTATTTATAGTAGTATCCAAAAAAAAAACACCTTATAAATTAAGTAAACTATAAAAGTGATAATTAGATTTACAAAAATTTACATCATGTCGTATGAAATTGCTATTGAAGTCGAAAATAACAAAGCTACATCAATTGCATCTAGAAAACAATTTAATTTGTTGTCGGATTTGCGTATACTTAATCCAAATTGTCGCGGTACGGGTTATTTTGCTAACTTCCTCAAATGGTAACAACAAATCAAAACTACAAACTTTTGAAGCGACACAAGAACTAGATTCGCCTCCCCATATTTCTCTATTCTTTGGAATCATAAGATTATAGATTTAAAAGTATGATGGAATTCTAGAGAGATTTTAAGAGACAATAGTGATCGGGTAAGAAAATGGTTAGGAAGTATGGGGTACTCATAAGATGAGTTTTGGGGAAGAAAAAAAAAAAAAAAAAAAAAAAAAAAAAAAAAGGAGAAAATATAGACGTTGTACCATTGGAGACCGACCCGGTCCGTCTAGTAGCCATCGGGAGACTGATATAGGACCGATACCGGTTCGACTTGAGACCGATAGAGACCGGCGGTTCATTGAATTTGGAGATCGGACCCGGACTGGAAGTCCGGCCGCTTAGAGTAGTAACTGGTAGTTAGGGTCATCCTATCTTCAAACCAGACCCCTCGTCGGAGGGATTACGCCGGCGGTGGCGACGACCACTATCAAAAATCGTAGAAGATGCTGTCTTTGCATTCAAATTTTTCGGTAATAGGCAAAACCTCACAACTTATGCGTATTGGAAAACACCAATCTCCGGTGGTGGATTTTTCTTCTTCCTCTCATCTTCATCAACAGTCTCTCAGGTAAATATAGTCTGATTGTAATATCTTTAGGTGTCTGTTGCAGATTACTTGTTAACGTTAAGACCTACTAAAATCGCCGTGGTTGAAGCCAAAAAACTGATAATCATTGAAGTAAAAGCTTCTTTAAGCTCCAAAACCTAAATTGCGCGTCCTAATTTTGAGCTTCATAGTCTCAATTGGACTAGTTATAACAAACTGAACTCTCATTAAGAAACGAATTTTTGTAAATTAGAATTTAAGTTTGGAGCGTAATGAAGCAGTGTTTATGTTCATGTGTAGATATGCTGTACTTGGTGCGGGGTTTGCTGGATTATCAGTAGCATGGCACTTGCTGGAAGTACACACTTTTTCTCTCCTCTGTATATGTGTCTGATAATTGAAAGTTTTGAATTAAGAAGCTTGAGTTGTTTATAGAAATTGAAGAATATAACATGCATTTTCATGAAAATTGAAGAATAAAGTTCCAATTTCTCAATGTTTTTTCAGCATAGTCCTATCGAGTTGCACATTTCCATAGATGTTCTTGATGAGGTTGGAATTGGGGGTGGTGCTTCTGGAGTGTCTGGAGGACTCCTTCATCCTTATTCTCCTAAAGGTCTCCATCATTTCACCACTACATATTCCATTCATTTTTTAGTTATATGTCTCTTTTCTATTTTGACATTTGGATAAGTCTGTTTCTGTAGTTAAGCCTTTATGGAGGGCAGCTGAGTGCTGGGAAGAGAGTTTAAAGCTTTTAAGAATTGCTGAAACAGCAATACAGACCAAGGAATCAAGCTTCAACAATGGAGAAATTGCTCAGAGTTCTTATGAATTTATTGCACGAAGAAGGTTTTGCCCTCAATTCTCTCAGAATTTCTGTATAACAGTTGTTAGAATCACCATTCACACAGATAAAGATCATACAAACACGATTTATATCATTTGATACAAAAACATGGATAAGATAGAAAAATAACATCTCTAACTACCATTGTGATTTTTCATAAGAATTTTGGTCCAAAAGTTGTGCCTTGGTGTACATATCTAACAAGTATAAGCTACAATTGAATTTATTCACTTCAGGGGTATCCTTAGACCAGCAGTCAGCTTGAAGAAAATGAGCATAATGAATGAAGTAAGTTCTCCAAATTGTAAATACAACGCACAATGCAATACTCTTAAGGGCTAAATGAAAGAAATAGCAACCTACTTCTATTGATTTGTTAATTAGCATCCTACTTTCATTTCATCCTGTTACAACCTTATACTTTGAAAAATCTACCAAATTATAGCAATGTCATCCAAATACAAAGCAATTTCAACTATTATAATTGGCTAGAATTTCCAAAGAATGAAAAAAAAAAAAAGATTGAAAGTACAATGCTATAGTTGAGTAGATTTTTCAAAACACAATGCCTTAATAAGAATGTAATAGAAAGAAACTAAAGTAAGTTTTTTAAAGTACATATATACATTTGAAAGTATGTTGCTTTTTCTCTTAATAGGCACATAATAATTCATTTTTTCCTACTAGTAGAATGCTCAGAACTCCCTTGCCAGTTGCAGAATACAGTCTATCAATGAAGATGCAGCCCAGATATTAATGCCTAACATATGTGTACCTTCCAATTTGGCCTTTCATATGCAAGGTGCTATAAATATACATCCCCAACTCTATCTTCAGGTATGGAAACTTTAATATAATATATACACATATTTTAACCACTTACCATTGTTTCTTGTATCCTTTTTTTTTATTTCATAGAAATTTCACTTTGATTAGGCCCTATATGTAGCTTGTGAAGCTCTAGCTAGAGACATGTCCAGTGTGGGCCCCGGTGAAAAAGAGATAAATTTTCACAAGAAATCTGTTGACAATCTCCTTCAACTAGAAGGTAATATATATATATATATATATATATATATATATATATATATATATATATAGTTCCTTTCTATGAATGTCATGTAATACTGTGTTGCTGATGTTCTTGTTAAATATTTCCATAATTGGTAAATAAATGTAAGTACATTGCTATTATGGGTAAAAAATAAAGTACATTGTCTATATTGATAAAAAGAGTAAAATATGTTACTATTTTCCTCTCATAAGTAATATGTTTACATGATCCATTTTAGGGGAATACGATGCAGTTATCGTATGTCTAGGCGCCAGATCCACTTTCCTTCCAGAACTTTCCGGAAGGCTGCCATTGAGGACTTGCAGAGGTGTCACTGCCCACTTCCATCTGCCTGAAAACATCAGGTATTAATTAGCACAAAAAATAGATTGATTTTATATTAAAAATTGAACGTGTTGTTAACAAAATATGTTTCAGAGAAGAAATCCCTGAACATAGCCCCTCGATTTTATCAGACGCATGGCTTGCGATCCAGAATCCACGAAATTTACATGTGGGGTCCACATGGGACTGGAAATCTTGCAACTACTCACAAAAAGTGTCGATGGAAGAAGCTTCTAGAGCTTTGGAAGAACTTTTACCTAAAGCATCTGCGGTGTATCCAAGCTTAAGAAAATGGGTTTTTCATGGAGCATCCGCGGGTCTAAGAGCAATGCCACCTCTCACAGGTAATGGATCTCTTCCACTTTTAGGGTGTATAGATGATTTCATCACTCAAAATCATTCGAGTAAATTCTGGTTATTTTCAGGCCTCGGATCTCGAGGTCTTTTGTATCATGCTTGGCTCGGGAAATTAATGGCACAAGCTGTAATTTCTTGTGATGAGGGTGTAATACCCCAAGAATTCACCTCATGGAGACCAAAGTTATGATACTATTAGTACTAGTGTTTTTTTTTTTTTTGTTCAAGATTGGTGGGAATTGGAATTTTAGCTATAAATATAATGATTGTTTGTGATTGAAGATAAGTATTTACAAACACAAAAAAGTATTAGATACAGAATTTACATTACAATACTCTTTGGTTCTGTTATGCATTACCCACTTTCACTTGTAGTTTCCTCTTCATCTACACCAGTCAAAATCCCAGTTGTCTACCCTTAAGACTTTCCTACTACCAGATACAACAACAAATAGGACATCAAAAGTTAACAAAAAAAATATTCACATTTCTTGCTGAATTCCTTTCTTTTCCTATTATAACTTCCTCAGACTTTTCCTAGCGTAGTACTAGTACTAGTACTAGTGTGGTGGTTTGTGGCGGTGTTTTGTGTGTACGGGTGGCCAATCCCTTCACAACCACCATTGACTTACGCCGTGTGGCGGTGTTGGATATTGACTATTTGACTATTTTCCATTCAATGATTTATGGATGATGAACTTGAGGATGTCTAGAGGGATGTAGGTGATGATACTGAAGAGCCAGATTACTCCCGCCCATCGCCATCCAACTCCTTTCATTTCCGCAAAATCCCAGTCTGAATATACCGCAAGCATTGTAGCCACCTGTATAAAACATAATATGGGTGGTGAGGGTAGTTTGGTCTTTTAATTAAAAAAAAAAAAGATGTTATTTCGGTCCTTACTATTTGGGCTAGAGCGAATGCGAGTAAGAGCAAGAAGCCAGGGCGCTCGACAAATGACCAACTTTGAGACCTGGTCACAAAGATGAGGGCTTGGCTAATGATGCTCACTTGTAGGTAAACTGCCGCCGTGATTTCGTCCTCATTTCCGATGAGCGAGTGAACACCAAAAAGCCTCTAAAATATTATAAATAAATTACAAACGTTAAAAATGTCAAATCTGTAAATAAATAAATAAATAAGTTATAATAACCGGTCCCACAGCCAACATGGAGAAGGTAAATCAGTGTCCTAGAAAAAGCATACGACTTACCGGGAAGAAGTTGGTTCTTGATGTAAGCCAAAAAAAGAGGACGGTTATGAGTGCGAGATAGGATCCGAGGACGATACCGGTGGCGAAGATTTCGTTAAGCTTCCAAGAATCTGGGACGGGTGACGGCTTGACCCGATCGGTGGATATCGTCATGATGGTGCTATCGTTAAGCAGTGCGATAATGAGGATCATGAATGGCGAGAAGTCAAACCTCCATATGAGTGTGAGGAGCATGAACCCCATCACGATACGGATGGTGATTGTGACTGCATAGATCGTGTAGTTTTTCATCCTTTGGAAGATTGCTCGGCTTGTTAATACTGCGTCCACGATCACGCCAAGCCCGGGCTCGGTCAGGATTATATCGGAGGCGCTCCTTGCAGCGTCTGTGGCGTCGGCCACTGCAATTCCGATGTCGGCTCGCTTGAGTGCGGGTGCATCGTTCACACCGTCTCCGGTCATACCGCATATGTGATTCCTTTGTTGTAACCTCTTGACAATCTCGTACTTGTGCTCTATAAGATCGGAGAAATTTACGTTAATTTGCAACTGTAAATGCCATGATGACAAAACAGAACATGTTGTACTGCATTTGACATGTCTTTGTTCATCTATACTTAGAGTTATGGATTATTAGTTACCGGGGAAAACTCCGGCGAAGCCATCGGCTTTCTCGATGAGGTCATCAATGGAAGCATCGTTGCCACCTTGTCCAAGAAGTGAAGAAGACGGATACATGTCAGACCCCATGCCAAGTCTTCTACCGGTTTCTTTACCAATAGCGAGTTGATCTCCGGTTATCATTTTAACTTTAACACCAAGTTCCAAAGCCTTTCGAATAGTCTCGGCACTGTCGTGTCTTGGTGGATCAAAAAGAGGCAATAATCCAACAAACTCCCATGGTGAACCTGCACTCTCTTTTGACTTCTCTGGCACGGTTTGACGAGCAACTCCCAATGATCGAAGACCTCGGTTTGCGTACCCCTCGATGACATCATTAGCCCGCCTCAGTGTTTCGCCCTTGAGCTCACAAAGTTGGATGATCTGGATAATATTTAACCGTCATCCGTTAGCAATTTGAAAATTGAATATTAAAGGGAAATTTTCAAAAATAAAAAACTTTGTAGTTTTACAATTTTATCGATTTAATCACTTAACTATTTTACATAGTGATTGATCAGTCATATTTTGACTTAAAAAAGCTTTTTTTTTGCAAATTCGGTTTTAGAGTCACAAAGATTATATATTTGTTTTTACTGTCTTTTCGATTTTCCATTAAACGATTGTTATAATCGTCTTAAAGAAAACGATAATAGTTCAATGACTAAACCATTTTCTGTATTCATTCAGTCATTATAATTTTTTACCATTTAAAAGTCAGTTGCCCCGGCAAACTACCAATAAACACAACATAATTTTATTATCTTATTATTGGTTGTCTCTCAATTATTAATTATTATTTTTATCGATTTAACTAATGATTTATTGTTATGATAGTCATAAAAGTTGTAGTTTACCCGTTAAAATGGTAAAATAGTAAAAGTAGTAGTTTACTCATTAGAAAAAAAAAAAGTTATAATGGTTTAATCTCTTCGATATAAGAATTAACCAGTTGAATCGATAAAATAGTAAAATTACAAATGTCTTTTTTTTTTTTTGTTGCATTTTGCTTGATATTAAATGCGATAGAGAATGCAGAATAAACAAGCGATTTATTAATCACAAAACTATTCTATTAATTTTTGTCGAGTTAGTCATTCATAATTTTTTTTTTTAAAGTTTAATAGCAAAATCGATATTGTGAAAATATGTTGCATTTGCTGAAACCAGATAACTGGAAAAATGATTATTTTAAAAAGGAAGAAAATTTTATAATATTTTAATTAGCAAATAAAACAATTTAGTAACTAAATCGAAAAATATATATATAAAAAACAATTGTGAAAATATGTTGCATTAGAAAAGACAAACAAAGAAAGTGATTCGTTACTTCTTCCGGTGCACCCTTGCTAGATCGATGCCAATCCCCATGATCGTCAATGTAAGTGATGGCCGTACGCTTATCCACGGGATTAAACGGAAGAAAATGAACCTCTTTGATTCCCGCTCGTGCTTCTTTTGGGTCAGCCAACATGTTGACCATGGACGCATCAATCGCGTCCTGGTTTTCAGTCCTCGAAGCCCGAGCACCATACAATACCACTGTATCCTTGTCACAATCCTTGGCAAATACCTATTATTTGATTCCCAAATAATCATATAATCCGTGTTTGTCCAAGCTGATTATTGCAGCTTTAAGCTGCAATAATAATCAGATAATTCAAAACAAAACACCAAAAGTGAACCTCGATTAAGTTCTTGTCGACACTCAATTTGTTAAGAGTGAGGGTGCCTGTTTTATCACTACAAAGAATATCCATGCCTGCCATTTCCTCAATGGCGGTCATTCGCTTGGTGATGGCACCTTGTTGTGAAAGGTGGTGGGCCCCGATTGCCATTGTTACAGATAACACTGTAGGCATGGCAATCGGAATCCCTCCAATCAGAAGAACCAATAGATTATCAATACCGTCTCTATATGCTCTTCGTTGAATCGGATATATCACTATAATCTCGATCACCATTCCAACCGCAATCGAACATATACAGAAGTTACCAATGTCGGTTAATACCTAATCAACATGTGGAATTTCTAATCAGAAAAAAAAATGGTACATGCATTAAGCACTTGTAGCATTACTTGGAAAAGTGTCACGTGCATCAATTGATAAAAATATATAATATATACTCTTTTATTTTATTTTTTTGTATTTTGGCATTAAAAAAGAAGATGCAAGATGCATGCATAAGCACTTGTACGTTGTACCTGTTGGAAATGACCAGATTGATTAGTGCTATCCACAAGGTGTGCAGCCTTGCCAAAAAACGTACGGACGCCGGTGGCGATGACAACAGCCTCAATCTCTCCCTGCTTACACGTCGACCCGGAGTACACAGCGTCACCGGTGTTCTTAGTCACAGGCAGCGATTCTCCGGTAAGTGCAGCTTGGTCGATCTTTAACATGTCACCTTCAAGGAGACGAGCGTCGGCCGGAATAATATCTCCCAGCTTTACGCATATCATATCTCCGGGCACCAAGACAGAAGCCTCCTCCTCCCTCCATTTCCCGTTTCTCAAAATTTTACACTTGGGAGCCAGGCTCGCCATCAGGGCGGAGGCGGCGTTTCCGGCATTATTTTCCTCGACAAAACTGATGGTTGCGTTGATCAGAAGAAGCACAACGATGCCTACAAAATCCGGCCAATCCGGCGGCCGACCACCACCATTGGCCAAAACAATCGCCATGATCGCTGCAATTTCCATCACCCATGAAAGGGGATTCCACATGAACCCTAGAAATTTGAGGAGTTTGCTTTCCTTTTTCTCCTGGAGCTTATTGGGGCCAAATATTTCGAGCCTTCTCGCACCTTCATCGTCGCTCAACCCATCTCTGCTACACTTTAAGCTCTTGAACAATTCTTCGATAGGGATTTTCTCAAGATCAACTTCGTTATTTTTTATTTGATCCATGGAATTATCAGCCATGGTTATAGAAAATACTAAATTCAATTAAATGAAAAATAAAGCAATAAAGATTTTAAGATAAAATCGGGCCTCTCTAAAATCCCTCTTCAGAGAGGCTCCACCATGCTTGCGGACATAGTAGAGGCTTTTTTAGGAGACGATGAGAGGGAATTGCAGAAGCCCCTTTTATCTAAAAAAGAAATACTTGCTTCGTATCTTCTGGTTTTCAAGATGAGTCGCTTTTAGTTTCTTTCTTTCATCCCTGCAATTAGGAACTAGGGGTAATCCATTATTTGCTTCCAGGAAGCTCGGTCCTTCATTTACGTGTGAGGTTTTATTTGATATGTTTGATATTTTGTTAGGTTAGTATACCATGTAACAACATAACATGTGCTCATTCATTTTATATAT